TAGGGCTGGACTCAGCCCTGACCCCTAGGGGACATCACTCGCCACAGGCCTCCAACTAGACTGCGCCGTTGGCCACATCGCTCTGAGCTCTTTCCTTCAGCCAGTTCCCACCCACCTCACTGCCCAGTGGTCCAGTCTGCACTTCCTAAGCTTGGCTGTGAGGGTGCCATGGGAGACGGCGTCAAAAGCTTTGCTGAAGTCGAGGTGGGCCACACCCACTGCCTTCCCCTCGTCTATCCATCTGCTGATGCCATCATAAAAAGCTATCCGAGGGGTCAGGCATGACTTCCCCTTGGTACATCCATGCTGACTACTTGGGATAAGCTTCCTTTCCTCAACATGCTTTGCGATGGCACCAAGAACCAGCTGTTCCATCATCTTTCCAGGGATGGAGGTGAGGCTGACCGGCCTATAGTTACCTGGGTCCTCCTTCTTGCCTTTTTTGAAGAGTGGAGTAACACTGGCTTTCCTCCAGTCCTCAGGCACCTCTCCTGTTCTCCAGGACTTGTCAGAGATTATGGAGACTGGCTTAGCAATGACTTCTGCCAGCTCCCTCAGCACTTGTGGGTACATCCCGTCAGGGCCCGTGGATTTGTGGATGTTCAGTTTGCTTAATTGATCTCTAACCCAATCCTCTTCAACTGAGGCAAAACCTTCCTTTCTCCTGACTTCCTCTGTGGTTTTCAAGCTCTGGGACTCCTGAGGGCTGGGCTTAGCAGTGAAGACCAAGGCAAAGGTGGCATCCAGGAGCTCCACCATCTCCGTATCCTCGGTCACCAGGGCACCCACTTCATTCAGCAGTGGGCCCACATTTCCCTCCAGTCTTCTTTTTTCCTCATGTATACTTGAAAAAGCCTTTCTTGTTGCCCTTGACTTCCCTTGCCAGGTTTAGTTCTAAGGAGGCCTTAGCTTTCCTTATTCATCACTACATCCTCTGACAGCATTCTTGTATTCCTTCCAGGTGGTCAGCCCCTTCTTCCATGTTCTGTATACTTCCTTCTTCCACTTTCGTTTATTCAATAGCTCCCTGCTCATCCGTGCAGGTCTCCTAGCTCTCTTACTTGATTTCTTACTCTTTGGGATGCTCTGGTCTTGAGCTTGGAGGAAATGGCGCTTGAATATTAACCAGCTCTCTTGGGCTCCCCTGCCATCTAGAGCCCTGTCCCATGGGACTTCTCCAAGCAGGTCCTTGAAGAGGCCGAAGTTAGCCCTTCTGAAATCTAAGGTAGTGATCCTGCTTGTGGCTCTGTGCCTGCTGCAGATGATCCTGAACTCCACCATTTCACTGTCACTACATCCAAAGCCAACCCCTACCTCACATCCTCGACAAGTCCCTCCTTGTTTACCAGTACACGGCCCAGCCACTACTCCTCTCCTCGTGGGCTCCTCTACCATCTGCATCAAGAAGTTACTGTCAGTGCACTGGAGGAGCCTCCTGGACTGTGCACGCCTGGCTGTATAGCTTTCCCAGCAAATGTCATGGTAATTGAAGCCCCCCATGACAACTAGAACCTGTGACTGCTAGGCTACTTCCAGCTGCCTGTAGAAGGTCTCATCAGCTTCCTTATCCTGATCAGGTGGCCTGTAGTAAACACCCACAACAGTGTCTCCCATATTAGTCTGCCCCTTAACCCTTACCAACAAGCATTCAACTAGCTCTTCATCCACCCCCAGGGAGATCTCGATCCATTCCAGTTGCTCTCTTACATAAAGAGCAACCCCACCACCTTGACTTATCTTTCCTAGAAAGGAGATAGCCATCCATGACAGCATTCCAGTCATGTGAGCTATTCCACCATGTCTCAGTAATTGTGATGAGATCATGATCCTGAGAGTGCACACAGATCTCTAATTCCTCCTTGTTCCCCATGCTGCGTGTGTTAGTGTAGGGGCATTTCAGAGAGGTGGCCAAGCGTGCAGGTTTTCCTGGAGGAGAGCGGGAGGATATACCATTGTCATACACAGCTCCAGCATGGGCTGCCTTCTTGTTACTGACTTTGGAGGTAGCTAAGGAGCCTTGGTGCCAAGCCGGGCTGACCTGATGCATTCCCCAGGTGGATGCATGCCCATCTTCCTCCTCAGCTTAGAGGGCAGATTGAACAGCCTTGCCAGCACACCGTCCCACAAGCACCGGTATACTGTGGACGGGCTCCTCTCTGGCCAGCCCAGTCCCGTCCCCTTCGAATCTACTCTAAAGCCCTTCCTATAAGCCCTGCCAATTCATGGGCCAGGATCCTTTTTCCCCTTCGAGACAGCTGAACCCCATCTGTTGCCAGTAGACCCGGTGCTGTGTAAACCTCCCTGTGATCAAAAACCCCCGAATTCTGTTGGTGGCACCAGCCCTTGAGCCATGTGTTAATCAGATGTGTTTTCCTGTTTCTTTCAGCATCCTTCCCTGCCACTGAAGGGATCGAGGAAAACACTGCCTGTGCTCCCGATCCTGCAACCAGTCTCCCTAATGACCTGCAGGCCTTTTTAATCGCTTTCAGACTTTTCTCTGTATCTTGTCACTGCCAGCTTGGATGACCAAAAGTGGGTAGTAGTCTGAGGGCCACACCGGGCCAGGGAGTTTCCTACTAATATCCCTAACCCAGGTCGCAGGGAGGCATAGAAAACCAGTGATAGCTGTTCCTAAGTTTTGTTTAGATTCTGGGCTCTGAATTGGTAATTCCTAGTTGTAAATAACTTGGTTTTTAACAAGTATGCTTTTGATCTTTAAATTGTGTATGGGTTTCCCAAGAAAAAAAACACTGTTTTTGAGACTGTAGCTACTGTGGAAAGGAAAGTGGGTTTACTGCTGCATTTGGAGCATGGGATATGGAGACAGTGCTGTGTGTGTGAGACAGTGCAGGTTCTGCTGTCATTGCTGAGGTGGTCCTGCATTCCTTTCGTGCTAGGTGTGAAGCTGCAGAGCAGAAGCAGAAGGTACCACTAGGAACTCTGAAAAAAGACTTGAAGTCACACGAGGAAAAGCAGAAGCACCTGACAGAGAAAATCCGCCAGCAGCAGGAAAAGCTGGAAGCTCTGCAGGTGAATCTGGAGGTCTCCAGCTAAGCACAGAAGTTTTAAGGGACCTCCTAGTGCAAATGGCTGATGCCAAGTCATGTCTGTCTCAGCTTCCAATGGCATCTGTGTTCCTTCATGGGGTAGGGGTTGTTTTAATAACAGGAAAGAACAGAGAACACATGTTCTTATAGTGGTTGACTTTAAGCTGGGAACTGTTTGCTAGCCTGGAATCAGGCAGGCCCTGACAGCTTTTAAAGATGGCCTTTCTAATTTTTAAATTATTTTTTTTAATAGAAAATGGTTCCAATTCGATCTCAAGTTGACTTAAAAAAACTGCCTCTGGAAGTGACCACACGGCCTGCTGGGGAGGTAAATGGGATACTGCTGTAGGCTTTGTACTCTTCTGTGCTGTCCTTAGCTGCTCTGAAAAGCAATGCCTGACTCTTCCATCCTTTCTCTCTCTGTACCCTCATTTTTTTCAGAACACCCAGTCACAGACCCGACCTCAGCGCCCACGATCCCCTCCTTTACCTGATGTAATCAAGAATGCTCCCAGCAGACCACCACCACCTACACCTCTTCCCAAGTCTATGAGTCAGCTGAAAAAGAGCTCTTCGGTTTGGCCAAATATCAGTACTCCCAAACTAGCAAGCATGCTTTCTAAGGAAGAGGCCAGCACTTCCAGGACACACCAGCACACTGTGACAGCTGAAAAGTCTAACAGCACTTTAAAAACTCTTGCCAAATCAGGTACAACAATGAAACCACCCTCTGCTGTCCTGCAGAACCCCAAAAGCTCATGTGAGACACCCAGTCCAAAAGCTGCCAAGGTACCAGCACTAAAGAAATCTGCCACTGTCAAATGCCCGCAGGTGAGACTTGATGGAATGAAAACTGTCAGCTCCTTGCCTAGTGTTCTGCACAGCCTGTCTTGCTCGGCTGCATGGAATTTGCACTGTAGTCCTTGTGCAGGACAAGATAACTTTTACATTACACCCCTCATGAAGACTTGTTTCATCTCTGACCTTCTTAGACCCAACTGTTTCCCGAGAATAAAAAGAATGTGGAGTGACAGGTTGAATATTTGCATAATCACATAACACCTGCTAAAACCTTATGGAACAGCTAATTAACTACCAAATGAAATACCAGATGCTGAGCATTTCTTTTTTTTTAACTTGGCTGAAAGAAGGTTTTGGTTGGTAGCATGCTGGAATTGTAGCTAGAGCTTGTTTGCTTCCTACAGGCCTCCACTGCTCGGAAGAGGACCTTGAACACCACAGAGGACGGGTCTGAGGAGGAGAAGGAGCTCAAGAAGCAGAAGACAAAACGAGGCAAATTTGTGGCAGTGAAAGAAGAGAAGAATGATTCCAGTGAGGTGGTGGTAGAGGTGAGAGTGCACTGGTTTCCTCAGCAAAAGGTATTCATCATGTGTTTATAACCTTGTTGGGAGGCAGCTAATCTGAGCTTTCTCTGCTCACAGCTCACAGACAGCGCTGGGGAAGAAGAGCTGGCAGAACTGAAGAAAGCTCAGAAAGGTGAGAAATGGACACTTGAACTACCTCCAGTATTTCACACAGTGAAAAAGAACCATTGCAGAACTAGACTTACTGGTCTGTTCAAAGATGTGGTTTCATTAATGATCTTTTAAAAATAAGAATTAATGTAAGTTTGGGTCCCCAAAACAACTAACTTGCATGAAATATTTTGCCCAGGAACCCCTTGATTAGACAAGAGGCAGTTGTGGTGTAGGAAGATTTGTAATCTGAGGACTGCATCACGTTAATGGGCATGATGCTTGGCTGCGTGGTGCAGACTGATGTGCTCACCCTTCCTAACTGAATGGATGGTGGAGCTGGGAAATGCTTGATACTGTATCTAGACCTGCTGTGCTGCTGTGAGAGAAGATCGGTCGAGAGACCCAGGAAAGATGATAGCCAGGGATGGTATTGCATATTCTGCCAGAGCAGGGCATTTCTTCAGCTTGTTCCCAAGGAACTGTCTGGAAAGCGACTCACAAGGAACACATAGCAAATTGTCCTAGTGGCCAGCACGAGCCTGGAGAACCCATGTCTAAAAGCTCGAAGTACAGGAGAAACCTTCTGTCTGAAAATGCCCTATAATTTCCTTGGATCTTAATGTGTGTAAATAGGAGTTGAACTGTGCAACAGTAGTGTTTTTATGGTTTACATACTATTTGAAGGAATTGTCACAGGTTTAGATTTGCCCCCACTGAGGGTGGCAGTCTTCTTTAGAGCTCATGCAGCATGTGCTTTCCAGCATCTGAGTGTTTGCAAACATCTTTACTGTCATCCTCCTTGCAGATAAAGGGCTGCATGTGGAGGTGCGTGTGAACAGGGAGTGGTTCACAGGCCGTGTCACAGCTGTGGAAATGGGCAAGCATGCAGTACGCTGGAAGGTGAAGTTTGATTATGTTCCTACAGACACTACACCAAGGGATCGCTGGTAACTATCTTTAGCTGCTGGATTTTGGAAACTTGTTTGCTTTCAGGATGAAGACCCCATTTTACTTCCATAGATGCTGAAGACAAATATGCTGCTGTCATGTCAGGGAGCACGTGTGTGCTGAGGATTGTCCTGCTGTTTAGTAAGGAATGAGCATGTCATTCCCACTCATACAGTCTGCTGTTGCTGTGGAAGCAGCTGTTGATCTAGTGGTCTAGATCTAGCTGTTGATCTAGAGGTCTCAGAGTGACAGCTGGATACAGGTTCTGATGAAGCTGGTAACGGTGTTTCAGGTATGGCCAGGGTAGAAAAAAATATCTGACTTTCCCTTAATACTTTCTTTTCAGGGTAGAGAAGGGCAGTGAGGATGTGAGGTTGATGAAGCCTCCCTCTCCTGAGTACCAGGCTCCAGATACGCAGCAGGAAGAGGAGGTTATTGTGGCTGAACCTTCTACCTCAGACTGTGTCAGAATTGAGCCAGACACCACTGGTCCCAGCAGCAGCCAAGAAACAGTAGACTTACTAGCCCAGACCCTTCGGTGGGTTCACTGCAGTTCTTGTGAGCTGCTGCTGTCTGATTGCTTTAGTCTTTTAAACTCTTCATTCTGGCTTTGTGTTTTTCTTTCCTGCATAGAAATTGTTTGCGGTACTTCTTGCCTCCAAATTTTCCTATCTCCAAGACGGAGCTGAGTTCCATGAGCTCTGAAGGGTTGTTGGCATTCCCCTTGGTGAGTTCAGTATTTCTAGAAAAGTAAGTTTTGGGGTTTTTCACCACACACATTCCATTCTTACGGCAGGTGTGCATCCTGTTGATGCCAGATTGCACTCTCCAAAAGGTTATTTAGATCCTTAAGAGAAAAACGTAGCTGAGAATAAGGATGAGAGCCTCTGAAATATGCCTTGGGTCTTTTGACAGTTGTTTTCTGCATATTTTTAAAACTATCATACATCTGTGTGGGAAATCTGTTGGCTGGTACTATCCTTACTTCTTGTCCATTGCTGTTAAGCTTTTAAAAATAGAGAGGCCATGTTAGAGGTTTGAAGAAATAGGATGTAGGCATACCTGTTTGTTTCCCCCCCAGACTTATAAACGTAACTTATGTGGAGGCAGTCTTAAAAAAGGGAGAGAACATGGAGGCCAACCCCCATCATGCTTCTCCAGGTGAGCAGACTGACTGCCTGTGAGCCAGCTGTACATCTTAAGGCGTTTAGTGTGGCCTCGTTTATCTAAGCAAGAATCAGATGGGGCTGAGCCTGCACCAGTATCTGCATGCTTGGTCCTGGAAGGTCCAGTGCAGGCTGTAATGTGGAGAAATGGTACTGGCCTTTTCAGGAGGCAGCTGTAGGTGAAAAAAGCCATCAAATTACAAAAGCCACTGCTTATTTGGTAGTCTTCAAAAAGCCCTCACTTGCAATGTATATACTGGAAGTCTCTCTTGAGTCTTCCTCTTTTCTCTCTGTTAATTCAGGCATCTGCTTGAGTTACTTACTGATCCTGCTGCTTCTGCAGGAAATGTTGGTCTGTTCTGGACTTTTCTGCAAGTGTAGATGTTCCTACAGCACAATTATAAGCTGTGTTGTCTGGGTGGTCTATACTAATGAAATTCCTGCGTACAGAGGCTGTCAGATCTTTCTGCATTGTAAGTGTAGTTTTAGGCTTTTTAAAACATGCTGCATCCTTAATCCGATTCAGACGGCTTTTGTTGCAGTTCTGATCTTTAAGGAATGTGAAAACTCGTATGATTTTTGTGCTGCCTGCAGTAGGCAAATTGGAAATGTGAATGTGAGCATGGTAACAACTGTGTGCAGTGACGTGGTGTTAGGCAACCACCTACCACGACCAAATGCCAGTAGCTGGACTCTTCTACAAACTGCGAGTGCTGGGGTTTTCTTGACAGTGCTTGTTCTTAATGTGTCATCTGTTGTGTTCTGTCATCTACAGAAAGAGTATTTCAAACAGTATGAAGTAGGTCTGCAGAACCTGTGCAATTCATATCAGACACGTGCTGACGCCCGGGCCAAAGCCTGTGAAGAAAACCTTCGCTACTCAGAGAGAAAGCTGAAGGAAACTGAGGAGAAACTGCAGAAGCTGAGGACTAACATTGTGTCCCTCCTACAGAAAGTGCAGGAGGTGGGTGAGGAAAGGGGTGCAAAACCAGAGCTGCCCTATGAGAAGCAGCCTTCCCCAGGCCCCTTCAGGCACCTGAGATGTTTTAGTCCAGCATTTAACTGATCTTTAGCTCTTTTTCATTTGGGTACAACTTGGGCGTAGACCATCAGAAGCATCTGAGTGCACAGCTGCTCTTGCTGCCCACCTTTTGGGACCCTGCCCTTGGGAGTCCTGAGTGTTAATTTTCACAGATGGATTTTTCATGGCATGTACATAGTGTACAACTTCTATTTTTTCTGCTTCTGATATGAAAATGAGGCTGCAAGAGACTTTCCCTGGGCATAGGCAGTTTTCTGCAGCAAATTTCTGCCCCTTTCTTGGGCAGAAAGGTGGTGCTAGATTCTGAACCGCATGTATAGAAATGCAAACCTTTAAACAAATAACACTTAATGTAAAAAATATTTATGATGAAATTTACTTATTAATATACTATTAAATGTTAAAATAGCAAATATGTCTTTATTTTAATCTTTTATTTAAATATAAAAAAATACTTCAAATAAAGCTAACACCACCCAGTGGAAAGGTACTGAAAGCAGGTGGAAGCAGTTGCTCCCTATTAGGAGCTTTAGCTAAAAAAAAATAGTTAACTTGACCCTGATCAGCACAATAAATGATTGCCCGAGTTCATTGTTTGAGCATCAAGTGGTGACTGGTTGGCAGGTGTTGTCCGTCAGGCTCTAACAAGGAGAGCCAGGCACAGTTGTCAGCAGCTGGAGAGTGATGGAAGTCAGGGCATAAAGGCTGATCAGGGACAGGTATCCTAGAGGATGCTGTGCTGCTCTGTGTTGTCTGTTCTTGCACTGTTCTTCAAGACTCATTTTTCACTGGTATTTTTTGTGCCTTTGGTTTCAGGATATTGATATTAATACAGATGATGAACTGGATGCATATATCGAGGACTTGATCACGAAAGGAGATTGAGCAGCCCCAGTACAAGTCCTGCAGAAGTGCAGAGGAGCCGATTGCTGCGATGACAGATGTGTGTTCCTGCAGTGGAGGACTATGGCAGCTGATGAGGAGAGAGGGGTTTTAGGCAGTACTTATGTGGTGTTGGTGTACAACTCTGTTCTTGTGACTTTACATGAAAACAACATTTGTGCTGTTTGCAGGAAGATTTTTAACACGTAGTTCTCTGAATCTCTTCCTTTTGTTTATAAATATTTATTTTTAAAAGAAATAGGAACTGTGCCTGATATGATCGGAAGGTTGCTGTGTGTTTTTAATGAGGTAAAAGTGTGAGTACTCTTTTTGCATTGGGGTATGTTCATACGCTAAACCTGGAAGGCCAGAACATCCTGCCTAGCAGGTTGTCTCAAGGAAGAACCTCTCAGCAGCTTAAAAATAAACCTTGAGCTATGGAAGAGGAGGTCAGGACTCAGCCTGCAAAGATACTGAACTTGGGCAATTCAGGATTTTGAGCTAAATGGAGGAGATCAAAACACAGCCCGAGTGTGAGTGGGGGGGATGGGTCATTTTGAGAGGGTTGGAGATACTTGCATGACACTTGTTAGCGCAGTGAGGTTCCCAAATCTGAGGTCTGTGTAAGCAGGTGGAGTTGTCACCAAGCTAAGAGAGGCTGAGGCTCTTTCAGAAGTGGATGGCCTCCTAGGCTGCTTGCAGTGGGTTGTGATCATCAGAGGGAGAAAGCTGGAGTTCAGTTTCTTATCTAGTAGTCACCTTATTGCACTCTTGCTGCTGTTTCTTTGAGACATAATTGCAACAGCAGAAGAACAACTTGACCAGCTGAAAATAGTCACCCTCTGTTCTGTTGTTGCTCCCTCAGGTTTGCATTGCTTTGATCAACTTGGTCTTCCAGATAATTTTATTAGGGTGCTGAAATTTGGAGCCTTTGGAGCTCTGCATTGCTGAGTCACATCTGGCCCTGGGTCAGCAGCAAGGACAATGCCTTTCCCTTGTCGTCCTAGTTGGAGGCTGCAGCTCCTAGCAGAGCTCCAGCTAGTCACATGTGGTGACTTGGTTTGAGTTCACTGGCTAGCCAGCTTCTCAGGTCTGGTAGGACAAGATGTCCATAAATTTGGTGCTCAGAAAACCGAAATCCCCTGTAGGCTGGGGGTTTGAAGCAACATGGTATGACCAAGAGGTGCCCACCTCCGGGAACATCCAATGAAATGGACTGTTGGTGTTCTTTTGACAGCTGAATGTGTTATAGATGTTTTGCGCAAAAAAAAAAAAAAAAAAAAAAATTCCAATTAAACATCTGTTGCACAGAAAATCTTAAGCACTAACGTTATTTAGTCCTGGAGAACTATCAGGTTCTACATACTGCAGAAGAGAGGGAAGATACCTCCTTATTACCTGAATTCCAGGTCCTTGTAACAGCACACAGTGAGACCAACTGCCTTCAGTCAGGATCTTGTCCTGGACATCCTAGTATAAATGAGTTGGGTTTTTTTTTCCTGTAACCTTGTTAAGTAGACTTATGTGGAACATTAGCTTTTAGTAGTGCCTTTCAAAAAACATAGGAACAAAATGACCTCTGGAGGTCATCTAAATAACCTGCCTCAAGCAAGGTGTACTCAGCAGCTGTATCACATTCTTCAGGGCCTTTTCCAGCTGAGCTCTTAAAATCTTCAAGGGTGGAGGTTGCACCACTCTTCTGCTTCACACCCCTCTCCAGTGAGTGTGTCCTTCCCTTGCATCTAACAGGGATGTTCCCGCTGCAGCTTTGGAGGCTGTTACAGCTGCCTGTCGAATTTCTCACCTGCTGCAGCCTTGTTAGACCTTTATGCTACAGTTAGGCTTGTTGGTAGCACATCTCTGCTCAGTCTTCCCTCAGTCTTTCTCTCTGCTTCCAGCTGTTTCTTACAGCAGAAATACTAAGTACACGAGTCACATTTTGTACAATATCCCCTTTAAGATCACCTTAAATCCCCCCATTATGCCCATCATTAAGAGTCATCTGGTTTGGAGACTTCTTCCACAGCTGTCGCCTAGATACTTTGTACCATACATATTTCTATTGGTAAGGTTGCTAATTTATGTATTTAATAATAAGGCATGCTTTTAACAACCTTCTGGGTCTTGTGACGATGATTGTTGCAGGCCAACTTTGCCTCAGTCTCTTGTCCACTGCAGCACACAGCCCCGAAGGTCTTCTGTCAGCAGGACCATGATTCCTTGCTGCTTCCCTTGCTGAAGTGCCAGCCCTACCCAGGAACCCGAGGTCTCTGCTGGTGACCCCCCACAATGTATGGATTCACCAAGTTTCTCTTGGCTGAGTGGAACAAGAACACCTGAGCTCATGGTGATCAGTCCCTCTCCTGGTGCGAGGGACACGGTCCTGCCTGCACATCTTTGAAGGGTCATGTATTGCTGCTGTTCCTTAAGTGAAGGCTTGAAACTCCATGTTACCAGCATCGGATCCGGGATTTGATTTTTTGGCAACAAGATCAACATTTCCTGTTTTCTGCAAGCCACTCCTGCAGCCTACGGTGAGGACCAGCTGGGCTTTGAGGTGCAGCTTGCTTTCAGCTACCTTAGAGGACCATTCTTTCTCATTCAGTGGGGCACACTCAGCCTGCTCTTCTGCTGCTGCCTTACCTGAAAGGCATAGCAAACATGTCAAATTCTTTCTGGTCTCCAGGCCCCCATCTACTCAGGAGAGCACAAGTTACCTTGAAATCCCTCTTAGCAGCATCTGAATTTGTTTGTGGTCTGAGAATCCTGGTCATATGCAAACCAACTTGACCAGTGCCTGCTGTGTGGGGTGAGACCAAACAGGCAACTCTTGCATGATCTTGCATGACCTTTCTCATCAGCAAAAGTGCAGGAACACAGTGGCAGCAGAGGAGACCCTCCTCTAGGCCTGCACTGTTGGAAGGTTCCCGGGAAGCTCTTCAGCACTCCTTGGAAGTCTTGGAGGACTCTGGGCACCTGCCCTGTTGGTGGAATGAGAGACCAAGTTTATAGGGAACTCTGGCAGCCTGGGCTGCATGTCCAGGGATCCCTGCCATGTTGTTTCAGTGTGTACAGAAACCTGGTGCTTTGGGCCACTCCAGCCCTCCAAAGCTCCCTCCTCCCAGGGCTGCAGCCTGTTGAGCAGAACAAATCTTAAGTTCACCATCCCCTCATACTACTGGGAGTCTCCCATTGCAGGACGCCTGCTCTGGCTGCCCCAGAAGAGGGCAGGGGATGGGGCTACTGTTGTTACTTGAACATGCTGAGTGAAGGGAGGGACACACTGAGTCCGGGAAGTACAGCAGGAGCACAGCACTGCAGAGCCCATCGCTCTCACTGAGTTGTCTGACTCCTGGGCAGCTGGGGCTGGAAGAAGAGAACTCCACAAGCTTTGCACTGCTGTGTGCAGGGCTGCCAGGCCCAGGGCTGGATGCCCAGATGATGGGGTGGGCTGTGGTCTGCCTGGGCCCTGCAAGTAGCTGCTGAGAAGCTGCAGCAAAAGGCCAGGCTGGGGCCAGAGCCACCATGCTGGGTTCTGCTGCCTGCATCCCTGTCTGGTCGCAGTTCCATGGCTTTGGTTTTGTTGCCCAAGAAGGCACAGCAGCTGTGGCGCTGCAGGTCTGGTGGCCTCATGCCCTCCTTGCCCAGCATGACTGGCACCAGGGCCATTCCCCTTCTGCCTCCCATGAGCCAGCCCCAGCTGGGCTGCGGTGAAGCTGCCAGGAGTGGGCTGCATGGCGGGACTGAGGGCCTTTTTGTGCAAGAGCTACCAAGTGCCTGGGAGTACAGGGGACGCGTGTGGAGGCATCAGTGCATGGTCCTGCCCTGTCTCCAGGGAAACATCCCCAAGTGGGAGAGGCATCCCTGGCCTCTGCCAGGGAACCTCCATCCTGCCTTTGTTGGCTCCACCACATTTCTTTGGGAGACAAGGGGATAAAGTCTGCCTTTTCCTGCCAGCTACCAACTCGTGCTGCAGCTGCCTGGAAGCGTCTCCCCTCACCCTGAAAGGGTCCACTGGCATCTCACCAGCGTGAAGGTAGGCACTCAGTGCCAGAGCCAGACCTGAGCCAAGGTGCGGCAGCGTCTGGGGCTGGCCGTGGCCGAGCACACAGTGAGGCCTTGTCAGAGCACCAGGAGCCCCTGGCACCTCCTTGCCCTGGGCTCTGTGGGCATCTGGGCAGCCTCTGCCCAGCCCAGCTGCTCCAGCCTGGGAAGGAGAACCTGCTGGGGCACAGGGATGATGCTGGTCCTGCCTTGGCCTGGGTGCAGCACCGAGGGTGCTGGCTCTGGGCCACGGAGACTTCCACATGCCTTTGTTTCCCCTCTCTTGCCTCTGTCCCTCCTGAGCCCCTCCCCCACCCCAGCTCCTCCTGCCTGCCAAAAGCCACTGACTCAGATGGAAGGGGCTGGGTTGATTTTTTTACATCCTCTTCCATCCTGCAGCACTTGAGCGTGCACACAGGAGGTTTCTCACGTCCTCCTTGCCCCTGTCGTCAGCCCAGCTCCCTCCCTGAGTGCTGTGGCAGAGGCATGTCCTAGGGTGCAGGGGGAGGCAGCTGCAATGGGATGGAGAGGTGACTTGAGCATCAGCATATGGCACAGTGCTGTGAAGAAGGGGGGGAGCTTTGTTTCTACTCGTGCAGCCAGCCTGGACCTCCCCGATTGACTTGGGATGCGGTTCCCAACTGCTTCTCCCAGATTCTCATGCCTTGCTGAGGATCTTGCTGAGCCCCGCTTTGGGGCCATGGCTCAACACTCTGCTCCTGGCAGCCCCCTGCTCCTCAGAGCTTCTTGCTTGCCTTCAGGCACAGTCGTAGCCACGGAGAGATGCTCTGCCCCACGGCATGGGCAGGTCCAGCCTCCCACCTTTCAGTTCCCCCCAAAACTATCCTGCAGTGTGCTGTAGATCCAAACCAGTCATTCCCCATAGAGCCTGAGCATTGACAGCCAGTTTTGAAGCTGGGTGTAGCACCCACGGGCAGCAGGAGCACAGATACTCTGGATGGATTTTCCAAGTGCAAAGCAGTGGAAGCACATGAAGCAGAAACCCTGGAAGGATGCAGAGCTGTCTCTACTCTTCCTCTGCGCAGGGTCTTGCACCCCAGAGCAAGAAAGGCACGTGCCCTGGCTGGCGTTTCTCCTTGCATGGCCCCAGCCTG